GAGAGATCTATTGTTTTACAGGGTATATAAGATGTCTGAAGCCAGTCGTGTGCCAAAGTCCCCGCTCACACGACTTGATAGCCGCAGAGATCACTTCATAGACAAGAGCTGTCGCGTGTCCTCCCTCTGGCTTTTCTTCTCGCCAGGACCTACGAGGACCATTCATTCACGCTTTCCTGGTCTTCAGGTTACACTTGCGGGGGAACTTGGCCAGCCGGCCGCGCGTGTATGTGTGGACTGCCGCCCTGAGCCCAGCTCGTCGAGTGAGTATGAAGGGCACCCAGCAAGCCCCGGATGGCTTTATTGATTAGATCTTTCCAAAGTTAGAGGTTCGGTCTGAGACAAAAGTAGTCGTCTTGAACGTCCTCGTTAGGCTGTCTTGAGGGGAAATTGCCCTGACAGGGAAGTCGGACGCTGCCTTGAAGGTTTACTTAACTTTCATCTACCGGTTCTCTTCGTTTTGATCTGGGATTTTAAAAATAAATAAATAAATCACTGGCAATAATTTTATTCATGATATCGTAAAAGAAGCATCCCACCGCCGATTCTCTGCCCCCCCAAACAGGTGGGAAATTTACTTCTTTGGACTACAGTTCCCATGATCCTGTTGCTATGGTGGCCACCGTCCATTCTATCCGTTGTATTCTGGGAACTGTAGTCCCCCAAAAGGTAATTTCCCCCATCTTTGCTTGTTTCTGATTCAATTTATCTTGTCCCAGGTCTTGTATTTTGTCCCTTTTGTTCTCAGGTGTAGTCCCCAAGGTGATCCGTTTCTTCCCTCTCTTCACAGGATGTCCTCTCCCCTGGAGACCAGCTTCTCTGACCTTGACAACAGCAGTGAAGTGTCCTTTTGCCTCACAGATGATGAAGGCAGCAGCCTACGGGCCCCTTCTTGGGCCTCCTCTGAGCGTGCCCCTTCCTTTGAGCACAGCACTGAGGAGCGGGTCGAGGAAGAAAGAGAAAAGAAGAGGCGCAGGGGCCGGACCAAGGTCAAAAACGAAGCTGTCCTTCATACCCTCAAGAAGACCAGGCGGGTCAAGGCCAATGACAGGGAGAGGAACCGCATGCACAACCTCAACGCTGCCCTGGATGAGCTCCGAAGTGTCTTGCCAACCTTCCCTGATGACACCAAGCTAACCAAGATAGAGACCTTGCGCTTTGCTCATAACTACATCTGGGCCCTCTCGGAGACTCTCCGACTGGCGGACCAGTGCCTCCAGAAACCACCCAAAGACATGCTTCTCCCCAGCTTCTTGAGCTCAACGGACCAGCCGGCCAGCCCTGGCAGTGATGCTGGCTCCTGGGTCTCCACAGCCTCTCCAGCCGCCTCTTCCATGTCCACCTGCACTTCCAGCCCTAGCAGCCCAGCCACTTCAGAAGACTATTGCTGTAGGCACACAGAGAATCTCTTCTCTTTCTCCAGCCTCCCCAAAGACTTGCTACAGAACTGCTCGTGCTTTGTGCAGTACCATTAGAACATGAATCAGAAGTTGGGGCCAGAAGTTGGGCTCCCCCACGGTGCCTCCTTGACAGGGGCTGGACTTGGTGATCCATCGGGTCCCTTCTGGTTCTGGAATTCTAAGATTGTAATGTTTATTATGAAGGCTGTTTGTTGATAGTAGGGTGCCCATCTTCTACTAAAGTTAAAAGTCCCCAAATGATCAGCGCTATCACCCTGCTGACTTGTTCTGGCTGGCTGGAAACCATGTTGTCGTTTTTCATGCGGGGTGGGGTGGATCACAGCTCCCAGAATCCCCCAGCTAGTGGACGCTAGGAGGTGTGGTCCAGAAAATGACTTTTTTTTCCCCAAATGGTTTCAGAGTGGGGAACTGGAGTTTGGCTTTTCAAATTAAAACTCCTTAGATTTCTATTATTTTCAAAGCACAATGTATCCGGGAAGGAGGCTTTAGTGACATTTAGAATAACATTTTACAAACCTCCCCTTGATTGTCCTAGCAGCAGGATCTACCCAACAGTGTGCTTTTATTTTGTCCCAGTTTGATTTCTAAGAATTTCCCTCCTCTTCTTCTTCCTCCTCTTTTTTCCCCCTCCCCACACTTTCCTGAATTTCACAAATCCTACTTTGTTTCTTTCCTTTTCACTGACCTGAGCTCTTGGTCATCAATACGATTTAGAAAAGAGAAGAAAAGGGACAGATTTGCTGCTACAGACGAGGTGAAAAGTCAATTTTACAATTTGTAGAACTCTAATGAAGAAAAATGAGCATGAAAATTTGGTTTGAACGCCCTGACAATACAATGAAAAGGCTTAAGGAGGGCTGATCCAGTTGGGTGCACAGGACCTCCTGCTAGGGACTTAGCACACCCAGTTCTCAATAGATTCTAAAGGCTCAGGAGGGGGCTCTGAACCTGCCAGGATCAGTCCCTGAAGAGGGAGACAAGGAACTAGGTTCATGCATTATGGATCCTGACCTCCACTGCTTCTGTCTTGTTTTCAAGTCGGGCTAGACATGGGCCATTCACTGACTGGATCTGATGCTAGTTTAATTTAATCAAGAACTTTCATTCATATGAAAATTGTATTTTTGTACATAAAGAGCTTTATTCTTATTATTATGTCCACATTATCTGAAAATGTGGTGCTGTAGCTTTTTTGGAAAAAAAGTGTTCATAAATAAATCTTTTTACCTTTTGCAACTTCAGTGCATTTTGATGAATCATTACTTTTTCCACAGGGGCTGTAATTTGATAACGTTTACTTGGGCTTGAAAAAGAAGGATGAGCCAGTAAAAGTTACTAGTGAACAGGCAAAACGGTCTTGCGGCAATAGAAATCTGAAATAAATTTAAAAGCAGTTAACCATGAAGCAATCAATATACATCGACATCACAGAATTCTCCTGCATCACCTAAGCATGAACACAAGTATAATCCATTCAGGCTTACAATAAAGCAAATTAAAACTGGTAGCCAGCGGTTTAGCTCTGAGCTAGAGACTACCTGTGGGGACACAGATTCTTAAAAAAAGAGTTCTCTTTGGTGTAAGGAAACATCAGCTGGCAACAGATTTTCAAAGAAAAGGGGATTAAAAGGGATCAATAAAAAGTGACAATTATGGAGAAAGTGGGAAGTGACAGGTGTATGCCTTACAGCACCAGGTTTATAGTTCCACTCTTTCTGAAGGGACCTTGAAGCTTTCGCAAAGATTTCAAACTTTTAATCCTTTTTATGTAAAGGAAAATCATTATCTTGCATTTACACAATTAAAAACCAATTAGCATACTAAACTACATGCAAAACCTCCCAAGTTCTCATTCTTTTTTAAATAATGGGGTTAGACTTCGAGGCAACAGTTCCTTCTTTTGCACATTTTAAGTTTTTGGTGATAAGAGATATTAAAATAGGTCTGTTTTTTCCCTGCTTTAATAGACAAAGCTGTGACTTTTAATTTCTCCCATTGAAACAGGACTTCATTTACTCATGAATAACTGATCATATTGAGTTCAATGCATCTGCTGTATTTGAGACTAAATCTGGATTCTTGGAATAAATCAAGAAACTCAAAGGTTACATTATTCCCATTCTACTTTGACAAAAGCAACTACGATTATCTCCAGTTGGATCAATATAAAGTTTGCCAATTCCTCTGTTTCCCATTGATCCAGGTACTTGTGTGCTCCTCCCAAGATGGACTTAGTTCTTCTAAGTAATAATGGAGTCTTATATTTTCTAAAATGGAAATATCAAAATCTTCCTTCCTCAGGGCATCTCCAAGTGTCCCAGCACAATACCAGCTACAGCCTTATGTCTGAAAACCACTTCTCCCTCATTGGACTCTGATCATAGAGACTCCAGCATTGCCAATCTCCTGACCCATTCCTTCACAATCTGCTTTTTTGGGTGATGAGGAGATCTGGAGAGCTCAAAAGCTGGGATATTTCTTAGGTGGCCTAGTAAAGAATCTATACTAATATGGATTTTGGAATCTATTTATGGCACACGCAGGTTTATTTGCTTTTCCTGAGTGGTGAACTAGGTGAGAAATAGTGTCTGACAAAATGTTATCTGTGTTAGCAAGCAGAACTGCATGCCTGAATTACCTTGTAAATTAAAAAGCTAGCTTTGTAATTAAGCATTTGGCTGAACCCCTTAGCTCTCATCCTCAACTAAAACAAAACTCAAGGCTGTAACTCAGTTGTGCTCACATAATCCTTTATTATCCTTGTGTCTTCTTTTAGTTCCTTCCTTTCTCTTCCTTTGTTATCTTTCCATCTGTCAAAATCTAGGCTCAAAGTTTCTGATGTACATCAAATGTACATCATGACACAAATTCATTTCATAAAAGTAACATGCAGGCTCCATAAACAAGTTGAATGACTGAATAGGTCATAAATCCAGTCACAATTAAGGTTTATTATGCAACTGTGCAACATTTTTATTGTGAGCCGCTCTGAGTAGACATAGTCTAGAAGGGCGGGATAAAAATCTAATAAATAAATAAATAAACTGATTCACTTCCCACCAGACAGAGTCTCTGAAGGATTTATGTCTTTTTCTTGTGTAAAATGCTTCAGATTGATAGGATTGCTCTAAAGCCATGGATCTTAAATAAATAAATAAATAAATAAAGTGATTCACTTCCCAGTAGACAGAGTCTAGTGGGAAGTCTAGATCAGCCAGAGATCAAGGTGATCAAGAATTTCAAAAATTGTAGTTGCAGACTCTGTCAAATGACAGACCAGCAGAAGTGCTATGTGCATGATCACTAGGTAACAGAGAGGAAAGGAAAATAAGCATTCTTTGCGTCTCTCCCAAAGTAGATCCAAAGGAAAAGGTGAAATTATGCAACTTTGACAAACATGCTGAGCTCACGGGTTTGAAAGGGTCATTTTGTTCAGCAGAGAAATCGCGCACACCCTGGGGAGAAGCCCAGTGGCTTTGTCTTTGTATATATGTCATGTCATGTGTGAAAAGATTGTCAGATTGTGATCTGAAGCAGAACAAACAAAGGAAATCAAGTCCAGCCTTTAGGGCAAAGGTGTAAAGATGGATTAACCCCTATTTTGAAACCTGCAGAAATAAACTTATGGACTTGAAAATTATCTTTGCTTTACCTCTCCTATGTTTTCTCCCTTTGAATTGTTCTCCTCTTTTTCTTTTAATGGCCGGCATAGGGTGTGGGAGGATGGATTTGCCATTGCCATTGTTCAGGAGGGCTCCTGGACGTGAGTCAGCTCAGCCTTTTGCTCCAGAGCTTATTCCATTTCTATAGTGGAGGGTAAATCCTCTATTTGTGACTCCAGCAAGGGGTCTCCCCATTCCTGCTGTAGATGCACGTGTCTGGGACAGAGCCCTGGTTTTCTTTTCTGTTAAGCCCTCAGGAGACGACGCACCAGGAAACCCCTTCCAAAGCCCGACTCACATCCTGCTCCAGGAGAGCACATGGGGCGGCGACTCATCTGAATTGGCAGCTGGCCATAGCACTGCTGAATATACGGGAGGCGATCAAACGGACAAGGGCCATTGCACAGAAGAACGTGTGCCGCGATGGCTGCACAGTCTAAGAGGGTTGTGTCAAAATATAGAGCTTGACTCCATACGGTCAAGTAAGGACACAAAATCTATAATATAAATAAAGTGGCATTACGTATCCACCACTTTCCCATTTCTTATATCAACAGAAAGAAAAATATGTCATTCTTACAGTGTACAAGATGTCAGGCTGCTTAAAGTGACCATTTTACTCTCAACTTGCTAGACATCTTCACAGATAATAATTCTATTCTCCCCTCCGGGGGGGTGGGGAATGCTTGGAAAAACTAGTTACAAGTAATACAGTTACTTTCAACAAGTTAGTTTGGGTTATGTTTGATGGAACAAAACATTATTGTTTAGTATTGTTGGATCTGAAGTCAGAGCCATAATGACATCTGGCCCTCCATTGGAGTGGAGCGTGAAGAGTAAGAAAGCAAACGGTGAGGCAAGAGACGAATGAACAAATCACTTCTCAAAATCTTGAGAAATAATGGCAACAAACTATTTTAAAACCCGGTAGCAAATAAGAAGAACCAATTGCTTTAAAAAACAGTCTTATTTAAAAATACTCATAAATTGATACAAAACACAATTTTATGAGAAAATCTGAACAATGAGCTTTGCAAGACGGAAGAGAAAAAGGGAGAGAAAGAGATATGGTGTCTGAGCGCATTTCCCGATGTACATATACAATATATGAGTATCCTTGAAGAGTAGGTCCTTCCATATTCCATGCTTCTTAAAAAATAACATTCTAACTCTGCTTGGTGGTCTGTTGTGATCAAATATACTTGAGACAGGTGAACGGAATTCTATAAAATACCTGTCCAATGAACCTGGCAGCTTCCTGATGTGTTAAGACTGCAAATTGTTTCCCAGCCAACAAGCAGAATGTGAGAAGGGCTGCAGCCTTGGTAAGAAAGTGGCCAGGACAGTATTGTTTTTTTCCTGTCCTTTGTATTTTTCTAAGTTTCTTGAGGG